GGGGGGGGGCGAATATTTGGTCTTCACAGGTGTCATTTTTTTTCTTTAGATTGAGCAGCGGGATTTTCGGACAACTGCAAAGTTTCTATCGAGAAAGTTAGCGTGGCAAAAAAGTTAACCCCCTAGGGTGGCGCTAACACCAGGCACTCCACTGGGCAGTGTATATATCGGCACCTTTCTTGTTTGTCAGGACAAGCAACAATACTGCCATTTTATCGGGAAATAGGGCAGAAATCGAGCATTCCGATGGCTTTTCCTAACCAGAATTTTTTTTATTATTTAACAATCAAGAGTTGAATTTTGGAGTATACGTGATATGAATGTTTTAGTAATACTATTTGATCAGGGAAAATAATTTTTCAAGCGTCAGGGGTGGCATTATGGCGCCCAGTGCCATACATAAACTAAATTCATTCTGGTTGTGGTGCGCCCAAGATAATCATTTGAAACAAGATTAGATTCAACCCCGTCACATTGATCGACGTCAAGGAAAATTGAGGAAACAACATCAACATACTCCAACTATAATATATGGACTACAAATCAGCTTATGATAGCATAGTCAGGAAATACCTGTACGATGCTCTCCTGGAACTTCGAGTCCCTAACGATGGATAACTCCAAAGTAGAATCAAAGTACAGAGAGAGTACTCGAGGGAGTTCCCAATTAATCAGGGCCTCAGACAAGGAAATCCGTGTATCCTTTTCAACATTACGTTGGAAAAAGGCTTTAGAAACACGTCTGAGCTGCAGAGAAGTAGTACAGAACAACCATAAGAAACTTTATAAAGTCAGCCAGTGCAATATCTGGTATACACAGACGATGTAGCGCTACTTGGTAGAAACAACAATGATAAAATTAAAGCTTTCACAGAACTTGAAGATGTCACATCAAAGCTGGTCTTGGTGTAAACAAAGCGAAGGTAATATATATGATAAAGACAGGAAATATGCATATTGATGACAAAATCAATATGAACAACCACACCTTTGAGAGGGGGGCTACTTTCAAATATCTAGGGGTGGCTAAAATAAGCAAAAGGAAATACAATCGGAGGTGAAAGAAAGGTTAACAGCATGCAACTGTTCTTATTTCAATTTACAAAATCTACTTCGAAGCAAAAATCTCTCTAGGGGAACAAAGAAGGCAATATACACTACTATCATAAGACCAGTAGTAACTTAAGCAAGTGAGACTTAGTTCCTACCAGAAAAGCTGAGAATCTGCTCAATATATGCCCCGATGATAGACAATTTTGTTTTGGGGATCCGTACAAACCAAACGCTATATCAATTGTACAAATACCCACCCACAGTCGCCAAAAAAAAAAAGGCAGACTACCCTGGACAGGACTCATTGAAAGGATGCCGGATTCTGAAGCAGCAAAAACGATCTACAGGCAGAAAACTAGGGGCAGACGGCTCACTGGTCGACAAAGACTTAGATGGATTGACGATGTAGAGGACTTACAGAGATTGGGGTTTCGCACATGGAGGCGGAAAGCGATGGATCTATCCCAATGGAAGAATTTGGTGGAGAAGGCCAGGGCCCTACATGGGATAAGCCGCCACTGGTGAAGAAATGTCAGACTTTTGGGTGGGAAGCTCTAGAAATAGCAATAATAACAGGACATCGCTAACTCTTCCACCAGCCCAATATTACATAATTTTATTCCAGTTGGGAGCCCTTAGGATATGCTTTTTTTTTTTGTCGAGAGATACTACCTAGCTTAGACTCATTCCTTAAAAATTTATAGGCCCCGGAAAATATCTTTAATAAATTCAAAATGCAAGAATGCATTTTTCTACATAGTTAACTTTAGTTTTGCATCATTATACACTTAATTGGAGAGCAACGGCAGAGATTCTAGTTCAGATTTTTTTGTGTCACTTGACCTCAGAGTCATCGTGTTAGGTCTGCAACCCGTAAGGCTGCATGGCGTCTCGTATATTTTAGGGGCTTAAAGTTGTGCTGTAATTACTTTAAATTATCAACTTTTAATGCTAAGTATGGAAGGATAAAACCGAAAAGTAGTAGGGGTGCCACAAAAAGTCAAGCGACGTCTCTGCCTGACTAAGTGTGTCATACAATGTATATTTCTTTTATTAATATGAAGAACAATGTGTTTTTTTAAGTTTAAAAAAAATATTTTTGTGGTAAACTACATGAAAAATAATTAATTTACTACAAAATATTTTTATTTTTTTTACTTCCAAAAATAGATATCTATCATAAAAAAAGAAAAAAAAAAGAAATGCTAAAATATTTTTAAATTTTGAACAAAAAAAAAAAACCGAAAACAAACATTTATAAATAAATAATTTTATTTTTTTTAATACCAAAAATAGGTAACTATAAAAAAAAAAAAAAAAAAAAAAGAAATGCTAAAATATTTTTAAATTTTGAACAAAAAAGAAAAACCGAAAACACACATTTATTACTAAATATTTCTAAGTTTTACCAAAGTCAAAAAGAAAAAAAAAACGCTTTTCTGTCGAAAGGGCTATATATTTTTATGGGTTTTCAAAATTGGTATTTATTTATAAATCGTATGTAACAGACATAGTTGTTAAGAAGACATGAGATGTTTACAAAAGACATCATCTATTTATTAATTAATGTGTGATTCTTTTGAGAAAGAAATCTTATTTAAAAAAGTTTAAATTCTCAATATTCAGTAAATGGAGATGTTAATTTAGATTTTCAAACAACTATAATTTGCTTCAGATCAATTACGACTTGGCTCTTCAATATTATACTTAAACCCTTGACCAAAGCACAGAATTCTGCACCCACCCAAGACAAAATGGAAATGCGAGTAGCGAGAAAGTCTTTACTTTAAAAAAAAAATTTTTACTCTTTTTTTTTTTTTTTTTACCAATTCCATAGAATTTATTTTTAAATACTACCAAAAATTGCATTCATAAGATAATCAAAATACTAGATTATTTATTTATTTATTTTTTTAAAAATATATATTTTCTTTCTACTGGATGATCATCTAAAAATGATTATTTTTTTTTTAATAGTTCAAAAATCTGGGGAAGATTTTTTTTTTATTCTCATAATAAAGTCTCATAATAAAGGATAAAGTCGTTAAGGATTTAATAAATAAAGGCTGAATATTTTTTTTTTAAATACATAATTTTACTCTGCTGTTCCCGAAACTGTGTTACAAAATTAGAAACGCACTCGATCTATGATTTGTGCACTATTTGTATGCAACCGGTAAATTCCTAATTTTTTTGTTTTAAAAATTTGTTTTTGGTTGTTTTTTTTCTTTAAGTTTTTATTTTATCTAACTCAATATACATGTATCGAATCCACTACATTAAAATGTATGATAAAAACGATTTCTTTTAAAGCTATTATACAATTTATAATGAACACTTATCTCTACTTTAAGGGTCCATCCATAAATGACGTCACGCGCCTGGGGGGGCGGAGGGGGGGGGCAGATTTTTGTGACGATGTGTGACGAGGGGGAGGGGGGA